GGTGTCGGCGTTGTCCACTTGGGCGCATTCTGAACAATCGGCGCGGCGACACATTGTTCTCTTGCGAGACGTCGGAGGTGTGGGCCCTCGCTTCCTCAAAATTGACCCCTGGACCTGTCACGGGGTGCGTCCCGACCAGAATTCCGAGGCGGATCCAGCCGTGGCGACGAGGGCGCCCTGAAGTAGGGTCGAAAAAGGGCCAAGAACATCCAGAGACCTTGATCCTCGAATCTCGATCCTCGTATCCGGCCCCCCCCCCGGCTCCCGTCGCATCGGCGCCCGACCAGCGGCGCCTGGCCCCGGAGAGGTGCTGTCCTGCCCCACTTGGGGAGGGAGCTGGGGGCCACAGCCGTCCAGAGACCTCGGTCCTCGAAGCTCGATCGTCGAGGATAGAAAGAACTCTAACCTGAATTACAAAGTGAACGCGTGGCCTCACTGAGGCCTCCGTCTTTGCAGTACTAGGGATCATAGATCTGGGCGGCTTGGTTTGATGCATCTGCACAACAGACCTATAATACTTCATCCCTAGTGCTGTTTGTCCTCCTAACTCAGGTGCCCTCCCACAGGGTCAGGGGTCCTTGCATTGCGAATCGCTCGATCTTCCTCCACCCTTCCACCCCCCTGCTCTTAGTGGGTCCCGGAAATGGAAGGGCCGTTTCTTCACCATGTTCAAAAAAGTATTTATTTAAAGTGAAAAGGTAAGACATCGGCGACCGGAAACGGTAATTATGCTACCGAGGAACCCACATACTTACAATATGTCTGGCGTGATGATAGTTGACGTGGAACTTGCGAGAACGATGCAGGTGGCCGTTGCTTCGCCGATGCCGTGGGTGGCGCCAGTCAAACCTTGGGAGCTTGAGTAGGAAATCCACTAGAGAGAGGGTCTCGCAGGTACCACATCAAGCACTGTCTCCTTGCATCGTCGTCGCCTCGTTGACGGCGAGGAGCTTTTCAGGCCACCAATTCAGAAACTATCGCGGGTAAGCATGCAATGCGCTGTGTACCAAAACGCTCCCATGCCTGACAGCATATGCGCGGAAGTCATCCAGGTTCCCCTCGGCGCCCGTCTCTAACAAGGTGCTCTTGAACTGCTCGCACGAAGGTGGCAAGGCGGTCATGGCGCTTCTGGGCGCCATGACAGGGAACCAACCTACTTTTGACGGAGAGTCTCCGGCGGTCGCCCGCGTTCACGTATCGAGCTGCCTGAGCCGGCATGAGCCAGGGGGGTTACAGTTGTTGACTGATGACGATGATGATGTTGAAGATGATGGCGATGCTGCTGATGATGATGCTGATGCTGATGCTGATGCTGCTGCTGATGATGATGATGATGATGATGATGATGATGATGATGATGTTGATGATGCTGATGAAGATGATGCTGCTGATGATACCGCCCCCCCACTTTTGCACCCCTGAGGCTTCCAGGAAGTGCCGTTCGCCCTGCACTCTGAGAGACTCCACCCCCAACGCACCCCTGGCGAATCGAGACGGTGTCACACCTGCTATGCCCTGGACGTAAGACGCGCATAGCGGCCGCGCTCAGCGGCCACCCTCTGCGCACGCCTTCCGGTGTCGACAAAATGCCTCGCGTGCTATGCCCTGGGCGAGAGGCGCGCATAGCGGCCGAGCTCAGGGAGCTCCTCCTGCGAGCCCCCTGTGGTGTCGAGAAAATTCAACGCCTGCTATGCCCTGGACGAGAGGCGCGAATAGCGGCCGAGCTCAGGAACCACCCCCTGCGCACCCTCTTTGTTGTCGACAAAATGCAACGCCTGCTATGCCCTGGGCGAGAGGCGCGCATAGCGGGCGCGCTCAGGAACCACCCCGTGCGCACCGTCCCTGGTGTCAAGAAAATGCAACGCCTGCGATGCCATGGGCGAGAGGCGCGCGTAGCGGCCGAGCTCAGGTATCACCCCCTGCACACTCCCTGGTGTCGAGAAAGTGCCACGTTTGCTATGCCCTGGACGAGAGGCGCGCATAGCAGACGAGCTCGGGAACCACCCCGTGCGCACCTTCTCTGGTGTCGAGGCGCATAGCGGTCGAGCTCAGGAACCACCCCCTGCGCACTCATTGTGCTGTCGAGAAAGTGCCACGCGTGCCATGCCCTGGAAGAGAGGCGCGCGTATCGGCCGAATTCAGGAACCAGCCCCCCACGCGCCCTCTCAGGTGTCGAGAAAGTGCCACGCTTGCGATGCCCTGGACGAGAGGCGCGCATAGCGGCCGAGCTCAGGCACCACCCATTGCGCACCCCCTCAGTTGTCGACAAAATGCCGCGCCTGCTATGCCCTGGGCGAGAGGCGCGCATAGCGGCCGCGTTCAGGAACCTCCCTCTGCGCACCCTCTCAGGTGTCGAGAAAGTGCCACGCCTGCTATGCCCTGGACGAGAGGCGTGCATAGCAACCGAGCTCAGGAACCACCCCTTGCGCCCCCTCCCTGGTGTCGAGAAAGTACCACGTTTGCTAAGCCCTGGACGAGAGACGCGCGCAGCGGCCGAGCTCGGGAACCACCCCCTGCGCACCCTCTCTGGCGTCGAGAAAGTGCCACGCCTGCGTTGCCCTGGACGAGAGGCGCGCGCAGCGGCCGAGCTCAGGAACCGCCACTGCGCCCCTCCCTGGTGTCGACAAAGTGCCACGTCTGCTATGCCTTGGACGAGAGGCGCGCATAGCGCCCGCGCTCAGGAACCACCGCCTGCGCACCCCCTCGGTTGTCGACAAAATGCCACGCTTGCTAGCGTAAGGCACGGTGTGCGCACCCTACCACCCCCCCGAGTAAAAAGCCCGGACCGCAGAGGTCGCGGAGCATTAGCGTTGAGCGTGTCCCGTTAGGCCGCGGGGCCCCAGTACAATGTTGCCGAGACCGCCATGGCGGATTTCCGATTCATGCTTCGCCCCCTTTAATATCATAATCGCCAAGTGGGGCGACGATCAGAGATTCGCATTCCGCCCAAGACTTCCCTCGAAACAATTTCCGATTGGGTTCCAGAGGACCTGAAATTTTCATAGGCGATCGACAATGTGCGATTTCGCATGAAACTTCCTCACACAATAAAATGGTCCGACTTATGATGCCTGGAAGTAGCGTCATTCTTTGGAAGATTCTGCAAAGCGCGTTAATTTGTCTCGACGCGCGCGATTCTAAACAGAACTTTCCTGTTCTGGTGATCGATGCTTTGCGGTGTTGTGCCGTTGTTCGGCGCGCGGCGTTGTCTTGGGTTCGTTTTGGAGGCCATGTCCGAAATCGGGAGCCGAAGATGCATCGAGGGCCAATGCTCCAGATACAATCGGTGAGCGAGGACGCAAGGGGCCTTGTAGGGCCGATCTGGACCTTTTAATCCAGGAGGTGGTAGGTCCTATGTGCAACGCGTGCCACGCTTTCCGACCCAGTCTGTATGTGGGTGCCAGACTGGATGTGGACGGGTGTCTTATGTGGGTGCCCGGTATGTTATGCATACGTCTTGGGTGTGTGATGCAGTGCGCACGCCAGGCTTGCATTAGCGTTGTATGGTGTATGATAATGTTGTGTGTGTGTGTGCGTGTGCGAGTGTGTGAATGCGTGCGGTGGTATGTAGACGCATGTCTCATGCACGTGCCGTGCATGCGACACGCGTGAAGCCTGTCCTTCAAAGCGGATTCGAAGGCGGACCACATCTTCGACGCCCTGTCCAGTGCACGAGGGGAGAAAGGACGAGAACGAGAGGGAGGAGGGAGACGCGGGTGCGACGCGGCAGGGAAGAAAACCATAATCACGCGAAACATGTGGGGCAAAAACGGCTTCAGGATTGGAGCCAGAACCGGATACGACAAAACAGTCGGCGACGGAAACGACAAAAAAACGGCAAAACGTAACCGGCAGAAAAAACGGCAAAACGGAGCCCGTAAAAAACGGCCTTGTCGCTTCCATGGCCCAACAAGGGTCAGGGGTCTTTTCCAAGGGTGCTCTCCTAACTCAGGTGAAGGGTCAGGGGTCGCTTCATTGCTAATCGCTCGAGCTTCCTCGACCCTTGTCCCCTTCTCCTCCTGCTCCTCCTCCTCCTCCTCCTCCTCCTCCTCTTCCTCATCCTCTTCCTTCTCCTCTTCCTCCTCCTCCTCCTCATCCTCCTCCTCCCCCCTGCCCCCCTCCGCGCCATCGGTGCCCGAGTGGCTCCGTCTGGCCCCAAGGATGGGCTTCCGTCTGGATGGCCCCCCCTCATCCGCCCCCTTCGCGCCCCCTCCCCGCCCCTCGACGCTCTCTCTATTGTTAAGTCGGGCACGTCCCTCTACAGGAGGAAAATTCAAAAACAGGAAAATAGTTAGAATACGTTTTGTTTCGACTATGTTTGACTAGTTTTGAATATTAGTTGACTATTTTGTATGATTCGTCCTAAATCCCCCTGTAGGAGGGCATGCCCGACCTAACTCTATTGTGCGGCTCTTCCGCTTCTTCGCCGTCCTCTGGAGGAACAGCAAACCTTGGCATCGCTCGAACGTGTGCATTTTTCTTGGCGAGGACTATCGCGGAGCATCCTGGATCATCGAGCAAACAAACGCACGAAGCCCAAAAATGAACGGGGAAGGGACGTCCGAGCGATGGCGAGAAGCTGTATCGACAAACTTTCGCAGCTCCGCGCGGATTTCTTGGATAGGTGCTTAGCCCCCTTGGCGGCGCCTCCGGCGCCGCTCCGCGCGCCAGGGGAGGTGGTCCAGCGCGGATCCAAGAAATCCGCGCGGGGCTCCGAAAGTTTCTGTGTATGCAGTTTGTTGCTCCTCTATACTCCCCTCCTCCTCCATCCCTCTCGGCGGCGAAGTCCGAACCCGACCCTCGCCGACCAACGATTCAGGCAACTCGATGAGCGGCCAGGGAAGGGTTCGGAATTCGTCGAACACATGGCTAAATCCGAAGCCTACCCACGCCTGCCGTCAATCCCGTAGATGCCTACTGCGCATCAAGTCCAGAGAGTCGATGATTGGTGGTGGTAGGGCTCGGATGTCGCCACCTACCCGCCCCCGTCGGTGCCTGAGCGGCGGCGTCTGGCCCTTGAAGGGCGTTGACCTGCCCCACGCGTGGAAGGAGCTGCTGGCCGCGGCGCCCTGGCGGGCGCGCGAGGGACATCAGGCCGCCGCCGCGCGCGCGCTCGCCGGGCTCGTCCGTGCCCTGAGCCTCGGCTGCTGTGCGGCTGTTGCCCTGAGCGCTTGCCCCCCCGGATGTCACAAGATGGGGTTGGCCTTCAGAGGAGGAAGGGGTACCGATACCGCTGCCCCTGCCTCGACTTTTGCCTTATAGGCGCCCTGGACGTCCCCGCCGCTGGATTCGCCTCGAAAGCCTGGTCAGGACGCACCCTGGGAGAGGCCGTGGAGTAGTGGTATTGGTATATTTTGGTTTTCCCAGGTCTACGGCTATGTTATCGCCGTCGCCGCCTCGTCGCCGCCCGTCGTCTGAGCCTGACCGTCGCCCTGGCGGCAGTGTTGTCGCCGTCGCCGCCTCGTCGTCGCCCGTCGTCCAGGCCTGACCGTCGGCCTGGCGGCTATGTTGCCGCCGTCGCCGTCCCGTCGCCGCCCCGTGGCTGCCCGTCGTCTGGGCCTGACCGTCGGTCGGGCGGCTATGTTGTCGCCGTCGCCGCCCCGTCCCGTCGCCGCCACCCCACTGCACCCCCCCCTATTGCAGTCCAGTCGATTGCAATCCAGTCCCTTGCAACGAAATGATTTGCGCGACATATAGGCTCTTCTCTCTAACAACAAATTGCAATCTCCCCCCCTCCGTTTCTGTTGCCCCGCCTTTTACATATGACCATGCCCCATCGCTCCTGTGAAATAGGATTTTGTATCATCCCAGCCCGACCCGTTGTCGACACCCCCCTCCATACCTGTCAAGTAATTAATATTGTGCACGCGCATGCGTTGATAAAAAATCAGCTATATATGAAAATAATTTGCAACATAATTCACAAAGTCCCTTCGCGCACGTCGTCGCGCGCGCATGCCGGAATTCATCAAACACCGTCGGGTTCGTAGGGAATTCCAGATCGAGTTCCCCGAATCCATATATGAGCAATTGGTTTGCAGCATGATGCTTCAAACAAATACGTGCGTTTTCCCCGCGAATTATTAAGACAACCACCGGTCGTTTTCAAACACGTTCACGACATGCGACCCAGCGTGCCTCTCGCGCGCGCATGTCGAATTCATTCGAAGGCCCTTGCGCGCTTGCTGGACGGGCGCGATCCCTGTCAAATAATATCATGCGCGCCACCCGCGCGCGTCGGCCGCGAGCGCTTGGCGAAATCCTTTCAAAACTTTCATCGCCGTCACGTGGACACCATCACAGTCATCGGCGTGATCAGCATCGGCGCCGTCATAGGCCTTGCCATCGTCATTGTCATCGTCGCCACCAGCCTCCCTACTATCATCACCGTGTCTGCCTTTGCCGAACTCGCCATGGTACCGCGCCCGCCGGGTCACCAACTCGCACTGAAGTGCCCGCGCGTCAGCGCGGCCTGTGAGGCGCACTGGGAACTCCCCAGGGGCCAGCGTCACCGCGGCCGCGTCAGTCGCGCCAGACTAGCTGGCCGCACTGCGCGCGAGCCTGCGCGCGCTAGCGTGGCCGCAGCGATGTGCCAGCCAACGCCAAGCAGTCACCGCAATCGCCGCCGCATTGGTGTTGCAAACCATGTTGCGGGTGGGTCCGTGGGGATGATTGATGGAGCAATTGGGTTGACAGTTCACGAGTGCGCACTCGTTAATTTTATTTTCTAAGAAGGGATTAGTATCTACCCCCCCAGGGGGACCCGCACATCCTTGGGATGTGCAGTTTACGTATGTATCCGCAGCATCGACTATTCTGTCAATGAATTCATACCTTTCCCAGCCGGGCCAGGTTCGATACCCCCATCAGGTTCGTCAAATTATATTTTGCGCGCGTACCCATGTATCCAAAATCTACGTGTGCAAGAGCCCCTTGCGACACATGGGGCGAAGTGCACACGCGCGTGTCGTCGCGCGACAAGACATAGGTTTCGAGACGATTTAATAATACATTTCCCGGAAACATATAACAAACACTGGTACTGCAACATTGAATGTTGGCGTCTAAAAATTTGCCCGCCTTAACGAATTCTTGCGAAACGCGTGTGTTGTTCAACCTGTTCATCAAATGCGACCAAACTAGCCCGTCGCGCGTGCACGTCGAAGTCATTCGAAGGCCGTTGCACGCGTGCTTGGGGGAGGGGGACACAATCCCGGCCGAAAAAATACCATACGGTCCATTTGCGCGCGTCGGCCGCGCGCGCATACCGAAACCTTCTAAATGTACATCACCGACTCGTTGCCGACATGATCAGCATCGGCGCCGTCATTGGCCTTGTCGCTGTCATTGTCATCGTCACCACCAGCATCACTACTTTCATCATTGTGTTTGCTTTGCCGACGTCGCCATGATACCGCGCCCGCCCGAACCACCGACTCGCGCTGAAGTGCCCGCGCGTCAGCGCGGCTTGCGGGACGCGGTGGGAGGTGCCCAGCGGTCAACGCCATCGCGGCCGCGTCTTTCGCGTCTCCTGTGCGGGGTAGCGCGGCCGCAGCGATGTGCTAGACAGCGCCAAGCAATCACCGCAATCGCCGCCGCATGGGTGTTGCAAAACATGTGGCGAGTGGATCCGTGGGATGATTGCGCGAGGACTGGGGTTGACAACTCCATGTTCGGTAACAAGGGGGAGCGCACCACATAATTTAAACGACATAGGTTCTTTCTCCAAGAAGAAGTTGTGACCTACCACCACCCCGGGTTTATCGACCCCTTTGGGCATGTGCAGTTTACATATGGGTATGCCGCGTCGGTTATCTTAAATATGAACTCGTACCACCGCAGCGTGACCCGGTATCGCGCACATTCGTTTGTCAAAGCATCATCAGTTTTCATTATTCTTTCGTGACAAAATCGGCACGCGCGCGTCGCGCGCGCACGCCAGAATGACAACAACTTTGGTTGTCGCAGGGCTGTCAAGACCGAGCCCGAGCTTCTCGAAACAGAACAGAAAACAACATTGTTTATAACATGATTTGTTGGGAAATATGCTCGTTGGCTCTCGCGAATGTTTAAGAACATAGGTGTTTCCCTTCCATGTTCATCGCATGCGACCGAACGGGCCCATCGCGCGCGCATGTCGAAATCATTTGGGGGCCCTTGCGCGCGCGCAGGGGCGGGGCAGTGCGCTGGTCGGTTAATACCATGCGGGCCTCTCGCGCGGGTCGGCTGCGCGCGCGTGCTGCAATGCTTTCAACGCTTTCATCGCCGTCACGTGGACACCATCACATCGCCGTCGTCGTTGTCATCATCGTCACTAGCATCCCTAGTGTCTCATCGTGTCCTCCGTTGTCCACGTCGCCACGATACCGCGGCAATCCGAACCACTGATTCGCATTGAAGTGCCCGCGCATCAGCGCGGGTTGCAAGACGCGGTGGGAAGTGCCCAGTGGACAGCGCCACCGCGGCCGCGTCGGTCGCGCCAGACTAACCAGTCGCTCGGCACGCGAGTTTGCGCGCGTCATTGCGGTCGCAGAGATGCGCCAGCCAGCGCCAAGCAGCCATCGCAAAGGCCACCGCAGGGGTTTTGCAAACCAAGTTGCGGGTGGGTGGGCGGGGGGTGATTGCGCGAGCCGTGGAGTTGACAAGTCATTGCAAACAATAATTGCATGCACCACGTATTTTCTCTTTTCCAAGAAGAGAGTAGACTCGACCCCCCCCCTGGAATTGTCGACCCCCCATGTCGTATTGCAGTTTACATATGATTCTGCCCTATCGTCCATCTGAAATATGAGTTCCGACCATCCCAGCCAGGCTGGTATCGACCCCCCCCGGCCATCGTCTACAAGAAATACTATGCGCGCACACTCGTTTATCAAAAATCATACGTTTTCAAGAGCCCCTCGCAAAAAACGGGTCGAGGTGCGCGTGTGCATGCCGAAATCCATCAAACAACATTTGGTTTCGTAAAGGTTTTAGAATCGAGTGCCCCAAGATCATATAAACACACGTGTCTCACAACACGGATTTCAAACACAAATGTTCTGCGCTCTTGCGTTTTACATAAGAAATGGGAGTTTTACCGTTATCATACAATGATACCAAGCGGGCTTCACGCCCGCGCATGTCGAAATCGTTCGAACGCCCTTGCGCACGTGCTGGGGTGGCGCGATCCGTGTCAACGAATACCATGCGGGCCACTCTCGCGCGGTTGCCGCGCGCGCATTTCGAACTCCTTTTAAAATTTTCATCACCGACGCGAAGACGCCGTCATCGTCGTCGGCGTGATCAGCATCGGCGCCGTCACTGGTTGCCCCGTCGTCGCAGTCAGCATCGTCACCAGCATCGCTACTACAATCGTCGGGTCTACCGTTGTCGACGTTGCCATGATACCGCGGCTGCCCAAGTCGACGACTCGCACTGACATGCCCGCTGAGATGTGCCGAGCGGTAAGCGCCACCGCGTTCGCGTCGGTCGCGCCAAACTAGCTGGCCGGTGCGCGCGCGTGTTTGGGTTGGCGCGGCCGCAAAGATGCACCAGCCAACGCCAAACATGCATCGCAATCGCCACCGCATGGGTTTTGCTAACCAAGTTGCGGGTGGGTGGGTGGGATGTTTGCAAGATCATGGGATGTGTCATTTCGTTTGTTTAAATCAATTGCACCACATAGGTTGCATCACGACTGCACAACATCACACCGGAGAACAACCCAAACGAGTGGATGACCCACACGTTTTGCACACACCATGCCCAACCGCAGTTTCGAAAGAGGGCCTTAAGAGGCAAACTCATTCGTTGCCCTTGCGTGTTGGAAGGGTTGTGGCATCTTCGCCATTTCGGGCATCCGTCGGCTCAAAATGGCTTGGGAGGTCTCCAACATTGCCCCAGGGCGGCGCACGAGGGCCCAAGATGACCCAGGCGGGCCTCCAGAGGTACTCTCGACGGCCCGAGAGGGCCCCCCGACGACTCAAGGGGGCTACAACACGTCCCCACAACGGCCCGGAACAAAACATCAGCATCAGCATTAAGAGGGAGAGAGAGAAAGAGAGAGAGAGAAACAACAAAAAAACAGGAGAAAGGGGGCGCCCACCGACAGCCGCCCACCGAGAGCCGCCCACCGAAATCGGCCGGCTACTTTCGCCAATCTCTTGAGGGGGCGCTCACCGAAAGCCGCCCACCGAGAACCGCCCACCGAAATCGGCCCGATGTTCGCCAATCTCCTTTACGTCCGCTAGGACCTCTTCCTTGTAAGCACTGATTTGGGAATAGAGTGCACAACCCAGATTGCACAACATATATATTTTACACCACGTAGAGTGTACATAGGCTGCACCACGTAGATTGCACAACATGGACTGCTAGAAACACGCAGTTTGGGGCCTACGTTGGCTGACATTAAAAAAAACGGAAATTACCGGAGGTCTTCTGGCAGCTTCGGAGATCTGCCAGCAGCCGCACCCCGTCGCGAGATGGCTCCAGGGCTGCCCGAAGATCGCCCCGAACGCCCAAGCCGCCAGAGGCCCGAGTTGTGGCCCCAGGGCCAGAGGAGCAACCCTAGCTTCATGGAAGACGATCAGTGGAGAGGAGGCATGTTGCCAAATAGTTCCCAGATGTCTAGTAATGTTGAGATATGTTCACAAATGATTCAACACGTGTTAAAACATGCTTAGTTCATGTGTAAAGCATGTTTAACACATTAGGACTGTTAGAGTGTCCATGGTAGGACTGATGGAGTGTCCATGGTCATGACATCCACAACCCTAGCTTTGGAGGTGTGCCCTGATGTCCTGATGTTTGTCATGTCTCCGGCGAAGCAGAACTGCATCAACATATATTTCCGCCGCTCCGCGCCGACTGTCGAACGTTTAGGCTTGTACCGTTGTTACTTCTTCATGTTTGGGTTTTCCACCTTGGATCTATAGGCTTGCCAGATGGGATCGGAGTAGAGGTCGGAGGATCGGGCCGCATCGCTGATGCATTGGCGATGCGGCTCGGTTTGGAACGCGATTTTCCCCACGACGACGTCGGCGATTCATCGGCGACGTCGCCAACGCATCGCTTATGCATCGGTGCTGCATCGACGATGCGGCGCGATGGTCCGACCCTGTCTTCTCTGACCCCATCGGGGAGGCGTCTATTGGAGTGTTACGCGTTCGTTCTGAGTGGATCTGCATGGGGGCATGGGCCTTTTCGGCGGGGGGGCCCGCATTCTTGGCAAGCCTGATTGTGGACATACTTCGACTGTAGCCCCAGGCCTGCGACGCATGGAACAAACAGCGGGGGTGTTTGCTCGCCGCTGTCTCCCTCTTGCCCGGCCCCAGGAGCGTCAACAAGACGACTCAGGATGAACAGTTGGCCTTGGCTGGGGAGCGGGCCGGGGATCCCAGGGACCCCGTGTGAGAAAGCTCAAGACCTCGGGCATCTCTTGTGCCCTCCGCTCGGGTCCCCCTCCCTTTCTCCCTTGCCCCACTCTCTCTCTTTCTGCCCATATCTCCTCCCTCCTTCATTCGTCCGCCCTCCCCATTCACTCCCCTCGGATTTGTCGACCCGTGTTGGCCTGGGAGGCCCCCGTCGAGTGCACCTACAGTCAAGCCCGCATCAGAAGTATTGAGTAGCTTTCCACGGTACCCTGGCATCTTTCCCTCTCGGCCCATCCCAGCCCTCGAAGAACAGAACACGACATCAGCATGAACTGTTGGAGCTCCGCGCGGATCTCCTGGATCGGCGCTGGAACCCCTCCCTGGCGCACCGAGCGCGCCAGGAGCCGATCCAAGAAACCCGCGCGGAGTTCCAAAAGGTGATGTTCATGCCCTTGGCTTCCCTGCGCATCATGAGCATAGTTGCCCTGACACGCCTGTCTCGAAACGCAGCGAGCGCCATGTTCAAAACATCCGTGTCGACACGCTTCGTGTTGGCTCAACATGTTGGCCCACGTTTTGACGAAGGTACCGCGCCAACCGTACGTTTCCTATCTACGTGTTGAGTTCCATGTCAACACGCTACGGGCTGCGTGTTGCGTATCGGGCAGGCAAAGACAATGACCGCAACTCCGTGCCGACCTTGAGGATTTTTTTTTTGCTTCAGAGGCTGCACGCCCAAGTTTTTCCCGCCCTGGGTCTGGCAAGCTTCAGGATATAGACGAGCTCGAGGCTGGTCAGGCGTAGTCTTTGTCACTGTCGTCGCGATCGTCGTCCTCGTCATCCTCGTCCTCATCGTCGTCGCGTCGCCCTCCTCCATCTCCTCCTCGTCGTCATCCTCGTCGTCGTGATCGTCGTCGTCCTCGCCGTCGCCGTCGTTCTCGTCCTCGTCGCCGTCGTCCTCGTCGTCGTCGTCGTCGGTGTCGTCGTCGTCGTCGTTCTCGTCGGGGGGGGCGCGGGCGAATGCCTGCGCGTCGCCGTCGTCGCGATTGTCATCCTCGTCATGCTTGTCCTCCTCATCCTCGCCGAGGGTGATGCGGGCGAATGCTTGCGCGCCCTGACGGGGCGTTGGCGGCCTCGTCTTCGTCGTCGTCGTCCTCCTCCTCCTCCTCCTCCCCCATCCTCGTCTTGGTCGCCGTGATCTTCGTCCTCGTCGCAGTCGCCGTTGTTCTCCTCCTCCTGCTCCTCCTCCTCCTCCTCGCCGTCGTCCTCGTCGTGATCATCGTCATCCTCGCCGTCGTTCTCGTCCTCGTCGCCGTCGCCGCTGCCGCCGCCGCCGCCGTCGTCGTCGTCGTCATTCTCCTCGCCGTCCTTCTCGTCGTCGTTCTTCCCGTCGTCGTCGTTCTCGCCAGCGTTCTCCTGGAGGCCGCGGTCTGCCTGGGGCGGCTGACGATCCTCGGCGGCGCGGGCGACGGCGGGGCCGTCACGGACGATGCGCCGCGGCTGTGGGCGAGGGGCGGCGCGCCGAAGCGACGACCCCCTCGCGCGCGGTCGGCTTCGCGGCCCAGGGCGGGGGCCCTCGCAGCCCCACGCGGGGGCACGACAGCCCAGGCCTCCCGGAGGGCGTCCGAGCAGGTGGGGTCGAGGGGTTCTTCCGCACCGCCGAGTCGTCGCCGATGCATCGCCGACGGGTCGGCGGCGTTTGCGATGCATCGGCGGCGTCGGCGTGGAGACAGGCGAGGTCCGCTTCGAGCCGCAGCGCCGACGGGGAGTAAATTGTACTCGGCGGCGAGCGAGGGTGGGAAGCGACAAGGATAAGGCCTTCTCGGAGGGCGGCGGGGCTTCTCAGAAGGCCTCGGGCCTTCTGAGAGGTTTTCTGCGTCTTCGGAAGAGGCTCAGAAAACTTTCAGACAGCTGGGGGACTGTCGAGCCTTCTGAGAAGGCCCGCCCCTCCTCACTTCCGCCCTTGGGCTCGACGCCGATGTACGGTCGGGATCTTTTGGATGGCGTCTCGCTCCGCCGGTTCTGGCACGCCACGCTTCGGCGCGACACGCTATCCACGTCACGGCCCCATGGCGTCCGCGACCCGAGCCTTTCCGAGCTTCCCGCCCCGCAGAGCGGAGCAGCACGCTATCTTCTGCTCGCAAGATGCAGCGTGCCGCCGGGGCTGCCGCCGCGACACGCTAAGCAAAAAGTTCCCGACCGCTAGCTGAGGGGGATCGGGGGCCCCCCTGGCTCTCGGCACTTCCACGGGGGGCCCTTCGCCGGAGGTGTCGGGAGTCTGCGCCGGCTCTCGGCAGCATGTCTTCCTGCCTCGGGGTGCGCTCCAGCAGCGGCGCCTCGCAGAGAGCGTTCCGGGGCTGGGGCCGGGCGGGCCCGGCGTGGCCCGGGGCGAGGGCCCTGCCGTCTCGCCCGGGGGCACCGTGGCGGGGGGAGAGGCTCCAAGGGGCACAGGGCCCCAATCGCCCACCGATCGCCGACATTTCACCACCACGCGTGAGGGGGGTCCTGGGGCCCAGGGCCCCAATCACCCACCAGGCGTGAGGGGGGTCCTGGGGCCCAGACTGGGCCCCAGGACCCCCCTCACGCCCAGGAGGGTGTGGCTCCGCTGTCGGGGGCTCCGCGCCGATCTGTCGGCCAGGCGTCGCTGATTCCAGGTCGATGCCTCCCTGGTCCCCTCCCAGCGTCCCCCCCTCCCTCCCAGCTCCGTAGAGACCCGGCGGAGGGCCAGGCGAGACAGCGGCGTCCCTCCTCCGCGTTTCTCGTCGTTCCTGGGCCTCCTGGGGGTCTCTCGTCGCCTCGACAGGAGCCGCCTCCCAAGAAGGAGAGCGGCTTGGGGCCTGACTTTGAGCGGACTTCGGCCAGGCGGGAGTGCTACAACGGGCCCTCCTCCGAGCTATCCTGCCGCCAGGGTTTCCCGATGTTCTCTTTCGCTCCTGGGCGTTTTTCTGCCTCGGGATGCGCTCCGGCAGCTGCGCCTCGCCGGGGGCGTTCCAGGGGCGTCCGAGACGTTCCGACAGGCCTTCCTGGGACCCGAGTCCTCCTCCTCCTCCTCCTCCTCCTTCTCCTCCTTCTCCTCCTCCTTCTTGTCCTCCTTCTCCTCCTCCGTGTTCCGAAGAGATCCTCCTCCTTCGCCTCCTCCTCCTCCTCTTATTTTTCTTCCTCCTCCTTCTCGTCGCCTCCTGCTCTCTCATCGCCACGGAGGAGAGTCCCGGGGGGACGGGTTCTGGGTTTCTGTTGCTCACGTTTTTCGGCCTCCCGTGGCCCTCCCTGTGCCCCGCGACTGTCAAAACATCCTGTGGAGGCCAAGGATCACCCTGCTTGCCTCCTGGATGCCCTGGGTTTCTTGGGTTTCGATGGTTTTGTTGTGAAGAGCGTGACGTTCCCACACCCAAAATCCATGGACGTCCTGGAGCCTCAGGGTTGGGTTTCTTGTTGAAGGTTTCTTGTGCACTGGTTCGGATGCAGCTCCTGGGATGTCAAATTGTGTTTTTGCCCTGGCCCGAAATCCTGCTTAATCCGGCTTATTCCCGCCTGGTCCCGCTGAATCCCGCGAAGTCTGGCTAAACCCCGCTTAATCCGAGGCCTAATCCGGCGTAGTAGCCCCCCAATGGAGCTGAATCCTCTGTATATTCTTTTCGCTAACGACCTCCCAGTAGTTGCCTCCGAACATTGGCCTCCGCTGCGTATCCCCGAGGAAGGAGTGGTAAGAAGTGGTCTTGGAGGGGCGGGGGCCCACGATCCAGGGCCAGATTCCCTCAGGACCCATGCCAAGTCTTTGTTACGGCAGAGGGAAAAAATTACTGAACACCCCCCCTCCCCCCCAAACTCAAAGTTGGCACGCGCGGGGGGAGGTGCAACTCATCAGACCCACCGCCTGCTTTGAGCATTGGAGTGAGGGCGAGGCGTTGGCAGACGAATGTGGAATGAGTGTTCGCTATTTTTTCCCAATGTCTGTCTGTCAATCTCTCAGCCGCATCGAGATGGGCACCCATAGATGGGTACACCGGCGCCGCGCAGAAGTCAGGCAGTAGAGCGCCAGTCTCGCGCCGGGCTTTGCAGGAAAGGGTCAGCAGGGCGCTCTGTTTCTAGAATCGTTCCAAATCTGGGTCTCCTTCAGTATCCATCAGGGTGGTGCTGGCCCTTGTCGCCTTCCCTCTCTCCAGAGAGGTTCGAGGATCGAGCGTTGCTTCGCGTTTGCCGCCCTTTGGGGGCCCCTGGGAGGCTCCGTATCGCCACGGCCGATCCGCCTTGACATTCTGGTCGGAGCGCACAAGAGGTCCGGGAGTCGCTTTCTGAGGGGGTGGACCTCCAGACGTCTCTGAGAGATCCCTTGAAGTGAGGCCACCCGATAGTCTAACAAAAACGCATAGATGCTCGACCCTCGAAACTCGAGAAGCGAGGGTCATGAGAAGAAGGGGGAGGTGTGGCCTATCCTCCCTGTTCCCATTTCCGCACCTCTCAGGGTGCCGAGACGAGAGGCTCGCAGCATACGTGCGCCCCAGCGTTCGGCAAAGCAGCTACAAGGAGCAGGCGCCCCAAGTAATGAGCCTGCTTCCGTCATGATCATAAGCATCCGTAGCCGACTTGGTTCCATTAGTTTTGACTCAAGCGGGTCGGGATCGTTTGATTGTGTTAGTTCGAAGGTGTGACAGAACATGTGTTCGATCAGAGTTCTGCTGGCATGCTTTGGACCATATATCCACATGCCTGCGGCGAGGCGCGCCACCGTGCCAGTCCGGCAGTCCGGGCGGCAGCTGTTCGAGTAACTCACAGCAAGCCGTAACATGTGGCACTTCGTGCCCCGACGCTCCTGAGGGCCACCATATCGTCGCCGTCCGCCTCCGTTCCTCGTTGCTCCCTCATCCTCTCTCGGTGCCTCTTTGGGGCCTTCCGTGGGCCTCTTGGAGGCCTTTCGGGGGCCTCTTGGTAGCCCTTCGGGGCTCCTGGGGCAGTCTTAGGGCGCTCTGTGGCAGTCTGGGGCCTGCGGCGCTCATCTTGGGGATCTCTCCAGGCCGTCTTGGAGCCTCCTTGAAGCCCTGGAGGATCGCATTGGGGGGTTCTCGAGCGGTCTTGGAGCCTCCTTGGGCAGTCGTGCAGGCCTCGTGGGCTATCTTGGGAGCCTCTTGGCTTGGGCCGTCTTGGCTCTCTTGGGGGCCTCTTTGGCCGCCTTGGGGTCAGCTTGGAGGCATATTGGGCCGTCTTGGGCATACGGAAGCTTGAAAAGGGGAGACAGCGAAGTCAATCAACACTCTACGGGCAAAGACCCGATTCTAATTTCTTTGGATCTCCTGGATTGTCTCTTGTGCCGTTTTGGGAGCCTCTTGGGCCATTTTGGATCGTCTTGAAGGAGTCTTGGCCTATCTTGGCGGCATTGGTGACCTGCCTGTGCCATTCACGTGACTGGGTGAGGGGCTCGCTTAGAAGATTACCGAAACCTTACCAGACAGCCCTTGGACCCGAACCACGCCCAACGTGCCAGAGGACACGGTTGCAGATGACGTGGCCCATGACAGCCATCGGCGTCAACCATGATTCAGTTCACACATGGTTGCAGCGTTCACACATGACTGTCAACCGTGCGTGTGCGTATCACACCGCAAAATCTTTGAACCCCCCTGCAGTGAGCTCGCTCGGCCGGGTCAAGACGGCCAGATGGAACATATCGCGTGCGTGTGTCAGGGTTGACGGCTATTGTGCTTCTCATGCAGGGGGGTGGCGCACACTTGTTCATCGCTTGGTGGCCAACGTATTTCTCGTGCCACCACCCACAGCCAGACACTGCGACGTGCACCACGTTGATGGCAACAAGAGTAACAATGCATTGTGCAATCTGCAATACGCCACGCGGAGCCAGAACGTTTGGTATTCTTGGCAGAAGCCCAGCCAAGGCAGGGCCACAGATGTACTTTCAATTTCTGTGATGGGCAGAGCTCATGGCGCCGACGAGCGGTGCCATTCCAAATCCATGAGAGAAGCTCAGCGGATAACGGGGGTGTCCACTGTGTCTGGCTGTTGCTCTGGAAAGAGCAAGCAATCAAAGGGGTGGGAGTTCCAGCTTATGCAGTCCAACGCCAGTAACAACTTACTCGGAGAGCGATGGTCAGAAGCACTGCACCCCGACAGTGGGGAACATTTTATGGTTGGCAGGTCAGCTCTCGTGGTCGATTGCGAACCCCATAGGGGCTGCATCTCCTGGGGCAGCACGTCTTCATATGGCTACCGTTCTGTAGGAGTATGATCAGGAAGTTCAAACAGACGGTTTCTGGTGCACAGCATTAAGGCGCGCACGTTCATACGGCCCGGGCCGCCGCGTGGAAGCTGGGTAATAAAGCACATGGACGGGGATCCCCTCAACAATCACGTTGAACATTTGAAATGTTCGACGTGCTCGCAGAATAATTCCCACTCCCTCAGGAACAACTTCAGCCGGCGAAGCAACAGCGTGGCGATTTTGAAGCTCATTTTGGCGAAAGGGCCTGGAGAACATCAGTGGCAATGGCATTCCTCTGCAAAAGAGGCCCCCACAGTGTTGACTCTCACCTCGCGGGGTACCGCAGTGCTGCCACGACCGCGTGCGCACATTTCAGGAATTTCCGTCAAGTTTTGCATGCCCGGTCCTTCTAGATGTCTTGCATGGCGAGGAATTGCGCGACATCCGACATTTTTTCGTCGCAGACCAGCTAGTACATGTCATTCCAATAGTCTAACAGTCAGCATTACCATCATCATCACCAGCATAATCACCATCACCACTATCATCAGCATCAGCATCATATTCCTCAGCATCAGCATCAGCATCAGCATCAGCATCAGCACCATCATCGTTATCATCATATCATCATGATCCGTCACCATCACCACCAGCAGCAACAGCATCGCCATCAGCGTCATCATTATCATCATCATCGTCATCATCATCCGCATCGTCCCGAGTATGTACACCATCAGCTTGAATCGCATGTCAGAAACAAAGCGTGGCATGGCTTGTTGCCAGCCAGCGGGGGATTTTTCCAAGTGACGGGGCAAAACGGTCTTTCACTGTACTTGGGTACGTGGTTCAAGTGGGATTCCGCTGTGCATGTTCTCGTCGTTCTGATTGTCACTCTTTATTGTTCCTGTCGTCGACAGCCGCGCGGGCCGTCCATCGACCGCCGCTTGCGACCCGCCCCGCGACCGCTGGCGGCCCACCTGCAATCCGCCGACGACCCGCCTGCGGTCCGTCTGGGTTCCGCGCCCGCCGCGTCTCGCCGTTTGGACCCGCTCGCAACCCACACGACGACCCGCTGGCGACTCGCCGGCAACCCGCTGCAGGCTCGCCCACACTCCGCGCCCGCCGCGCCCCGCAACCCCTCGATCTGCGAGGGGGCGCAGGTTCTCATCCTCTGCCACGCATCATGCTTGTCCAGCTCGTTCCAATTAAATCGGATTCATCTTAACCGTCGTCCTCCTTCTCCTTGCTCCGCTTCCCCTCTTTCGCCCCCTCCTCTGCCCTTGTCCCGGCGGGACTTGGAGCGATAGCTCGAGACGCCCTCGGGGCTTCCTGCCACTGGATCTCCGGCCAGTGCCGCCTCTGATGGGCGCACTCTCCGATGCCGTGACCGCACAGCTCATGATGAGCGGTCCTCTGCATCGACGTTGACGAGGGCGTAGGCCCTTGCTTCTTCACGGCGTTACCGGGTTCACTCCAATAGTCTTTTACAGTCTAGCGCGCGGTCTCCGCGCGCTCCGCGCAGGAGACCGCGGCAGGACAGGCAGTTGGCAGCTAGATTTTTGATTCGAGACAAAGGACCCCCAGATACGCCTCCCCCAGCGCAGGTTTTGCAACCCGCACTTCTGTTCTTGAACCGTCTCGGGGCACGAAACCTGCCCCCAGATGCTGAAAACGGAGAAATCTTGGCCGTCTCAGTTTTGTCGAGCTACCGGATGTCTGGGCATGGCCGTATGTGTGTGTGTGTGTGTGTGTGTGTGTGTGTGTGTGTGTCGTTTCCCGGGTGGTGCCGAATGGACGCCTCGGTCTTGCTTCCTCTAGTCGGGGGGTGTGCTGCGGCCCTTGCGCCTCAGCCAGGCGTGGACGTCGTCGGACGGCTACGCTTGGAGGGAGCTCCCTCGCGCGCAGTACCGCCTCGCGGCCGAGAGGCACAGGTCAGGGAGGGGGGGCAGGTGTGGAGAGGGGAAAGGGAGAGGGAGAGGGCCGGGGGGATCAGAGGGGGGAAGTGGAGTAGGAGGAGGATGGGGAGGAGGAGAGCGAGAAGGAGGGGACTGGGAGGGGGAATGGGGTATTCGGATGGTGTGGAGGACCTTCCTGGAGGAGGGGAGGTAGGATGAGGAGGAAGAGGAGGGCCATTGAGGAGGAGGCACGGGAGGAAGATGAGCAGGGAAGGATGGACAAGATGAGGAACGGGTTGCCAGATTATGCAGTGACGGTTGTTACTTCTACACAAGAGTGTCGGCATGGAGCCAAACCTACTACGGAGTTCTCCCGGGTCTTGCGCGGGGGTGCTATCCAGTGGGGTGCGGAGGGCATACGAGCGGCGCAATTCCGTGACGAAGCCGCCGAGGCCTGGGCACCGTTCACGGGGTACCGCAGGAGGCGGTAGGGGGGCCCAGTACCTAATTCGGGACCGGCTTTCGGGTCTGTCTCGGTTGCATCTTACAACGTGCACAAAAGACCCCTTTGCGAAGGAAAGCGGATCGCCCGTATTTTGAACCAGCTGAGCGTGGGTTCTGCGGTGATTTGTCTTCAGGAAGGTCCCCGCTGGACCAATTTGCCTGGGACCACTGTTGTCGTCCATTCAGGCCGCACCAGGGCCGACGAGGCTGCCAATCGGGATGGATTCGATTGTGGCTTTTTGGTTCCACGCAGCCTGAATCCGAGAATCAGAGGGATGCAGCATTCAAGGTACTGAAGCGGAATGGTTTTGAGCGTGGTTGACGGTGCCAATATTTTAATTTTCAGTGTTCATTTGATTCCTAAGAGCCGTGATGAGGATTCAGAGTACAATACCAGTTGCTTCGGGGAGGCCAGAGCAGGAACCATAGAATGTTTGAAACGTTGTGTGTTCAAGTGATCTAAGTTGCAGGTGGCGGTCGGCGTGGATGCCAACGTCACGCTGCCGCGGAACATCGACGGGATGACGGGGACAGCATTGCGACCACCTCTGTCATCCCATACGGCTTCAATGCAAGATTGTGTTGTTTCTTGGTTGCGCGTGCTCGGCGTACGTTCTTAGAGCACGTATGGAAATGGGGTTTTCCTGGACGAGTTGTGGACTTGCGGCTTGAAGCGCCGTGCGGCCGCAAAGTCGCAGATCAATTACGTCTCAGCATCTTCAGGCCTCACTGTGACGGGGAAGGCTTTCAACTTCTTGGATCTGCAGTCCAAGCCGGCGCTCACCACCAGGACGGACCATCAACCTGTCATTGGGCACGTCGGCTGGGAGAACCTCACGGGGAACAGCTCTGGGCACGATGACAGGCACCTTCCCCAGAAATCCCGGGGCCTACCCGAGGTGGTTTCATGGATCTTGACGTCCTGCACTCTTTCCGAACCTCCATGGTTGAGCCAGACGTGTGAGGCATGTGTGCCTGCATTGTTCAAACATTGTTTGCACGTAGCGGCCGAAATGCACCACAAATTCAAATCTCCGAAGGTGGTCGACGCCAAGGGCACAATCCGACAACATCTACGAGTGCTTCTTCAAGAAAGGAAAAACCACCCCGACCCCGAGAACTGGCGTTTACCAAACGGCCCTGGGCCTGTGCTAAACAGCCCTGCCCTGTTTGATTCCTTCCTTAGGTGCGTTTACTAAACAGCTTCGCTTGCCGGGGTGCTTATCATGGGGATGAATGCTCTGATCTCTACTTCGTTTGTGGCTCCGAGTGGAAACGAATGAGGGTACGAAGGAACACGTCACGACGTTAATCTGGAAGCACGTCCGGGTTTTTTTGCGCGTGCACCGTCTGCGCAGCGATCTCTCCGGGCCATGCAGCGGGGAAGCGTTCCTCCAAAGGAAACTCCAAAGCCATGTGTAACTGATTCTCGAGAGAGCTTCGACCGGACCGAAGGGCTTGAGGGTGCCTTGCAGTTCAGGGAGGCCCGTTCTTCTGCGATGTGGGGAAGGCACCGGATGTGCAGACCCAGAGGCGGGGGGCATTTGCAGGATTTTTGGAGACCACGGGCAAAGAGAGCCTTTGGAATGTGGGGACACCCTGAAGACAAGATCTGATATCAAGGCCGGGGGAGCGGCAGGAGCTTATTTGGCGATTTGTGCTGGAGATCGGCAAGTCTCCTGTGCTCCGAAAGTGATTTTAACAGACGTGCCGCACGCAGATACAACAAAACATGATTATTCTCAAGGTCCACATCTGGTTTCCGGAAATCATCGTGGACCTGTCAATTCACGAGCGTTGTGCGGGAACTATTGCATTTTGCCGGAGTGTGGGATTCACCGGTGGTAGTTGCGGCACAAGATGTGGCAACCGTTTTCGGCCCCATGCTGCACGGGCTTATCTTGGTCTCGCTGCAGGCCCGTGGAGCGTCCACGTGGGAGCCCGCGATTCATACGAGGGAGCTCCCATCTGTCAAAGCTTGCGCCACTTGCCTGTAATGAGGAGCACTTCCCTTTTCAGTTTCTCCCGTGGCGACAAGCAAAGGGGGAGTGGAGACGCCTATGAAATAGACTGCGCTACTGCAGCACGCTTTCATCGGCGGGGCCAGTGCCATGCGGTCCTTTCGTGGGTGAGTATCTCCCCAGAGTTTTTGTTCAACGGGTCTGCACATTGTGGGGCTTGCCAGAGACCTCTGGCGAGGACCGCGCTTCAGCCCCGCCACTCAGGAGCATGCGGTTCTATGCTGGGATCAATGACGTACCAGTTCTTCTGCCGAGCCCCAAGGAGAATTATTGGAATGCTGGGTCTCGCCGCGTTTGGACCCAGATGGACAATCAAATGCTCGAGCGGGCATGAGCGGGAGGCTAGCACGGAGCAGTCAACAATGCGACCCTTATTTTGTCGTGTTGGCCGCTACATGGAGAAATTGATGTTTTCCGAGTGTTTAGCGCGCTTGAACACCACGTCTTCCATTGAGTTGGACAAGCGAAAATTCAGTTATGTCGCTGGTCATGTTGCCAACGTCTCGCTCGACGGCCACAATGGCTGAACAACGGGAACCTAGTCTGTTAGCCCGGGCAAGTCAGCAACGCTGGAATCTTCGTGTGTGCGTGGACGGGGCGCGAAGTGGCGATGGGCTTGATGCCAGGGGGCCTGCCATTTACGTTTACGATTGTGCTGGCCACGGGCAGATCATGCTTCGGGCGGTGCGATGTCTTGGTATTCTGGTTGATTCGTTCATTGCTGAATGTTCAGCTTTGGATTGATCTCTCAATGTGCAATTCACAATTGTCTTGGAGGATGGAGCGCAGAGCGTGTAGTGGGCAGGTGGGATATGTGCTCGACGCATTGTCCGTAATCCAAAAAAACGGAGCGAAAGAGAAGCAAACCTGAGAGGCAGGAGGAGGATGGGGGAAGGGAGGGGGATGAGGAGACACGAGAAGGAACACGAGGAGGAGGGCGACGGGTGAGGAGGAGTGCTTCAGCACAGCGAGGCCGAGCGGTCCGCCACCGAGGGGCACAGGCCGCACTCGCTGTTAGGGAAAGGGCCGGCTGAAATCCTGGGGGGGGTGCAGTTGTCGGCCAACTGCGGTGGAGAATTTTGGCCTGGCGCGTCGCGCCGCTGGATCTGGCCCACCGCGCTTCGGCGCGACACCCTGTCCGCTGTCCAGTCCCCAGGCTTCAACTTCCCGAGCCATTCCGTGCCTCCCGCCTCGTGGGGCAGAGCGACACGCGATCCGCTTGCAGGGCTTAGCGTGTCGTTGGGGCCGCGGCGACACAGTAAGCAAACGTTTCCGACCGTAGCGGCACCCAGCGTCCGAATTCGGTTCAAGCTCGGGGTATCGGGTACATCCGGGCTCCAGAACGTATAGCAACAATTTGAAGCAGTTACCTTGACCAGGGCTGGCCACGTTCCAGTGGATGTGCTTGGAGTGTTGGCTGGTTAATTACGTGGTAGGTCAGGAGTCATTGGTTTCGCGCACCGTGCCCTTCTCCAGATCATAGCAGCGAGTACTTCTGAGTTCACTGACACATCAGTTCCCTCTCAAGCACGGAGTACCATGGCAGTTCACTCGGTGGAAAGGCGTCGACACAACATTGGGATTGCACTTACTGGGAGGTCATATTCGCATCGGCGTTTGCATGTCGGGAACGGTCCTGTTCCGATTTGATCCTGCTTGATGTGGCTCTATCCCGCTGAATCCTGGTTTCATCTAGCAGAACCCACATGTTTTGTTCGATATGTTGACTCCTGAACCATTCCCACGGGGACCTTTAAAGGAGCCGCCCCTAGGAGCTTTAGAGGAGCGCCTGTCGAGACATCGGCGGTCATCCTGGTCCCCACTGCTGCTTAATATCGAAATGCCTCCTCCCTGCCTGCTCGCTGTCCTGTGTTACCTGCCTGCTATCCCTCCCGCCCTCAGCGGTCCTGTTCCCTCCGCCTCCGCCCTCCTCCTCCTCCTCCTCATCCTCGCTCCCATCCTCCCCCTCTCCCCCCTTTTTCTTCCGTTTCCTCCCCCTCCTGCTCCTTCTCTTCTTCTTCCTCCTCCTCCTCTTCCTCTTCCTCGTCCCCTCTTTGGCCTCCGATGTCTCACCCTGGCCCTCCTCTGACAAACGGGGGGCCTCCACCAGTTTTTGCCCCTCCCCCCTGCCTCCCCAGACCTTCGAGTGCCGTTCGTGCAGAACAGACACACAGGGCCCAGGGAATGGCGTCGAGCACTCCAGGTCTGGGCGCCCTACCGAAGCAGACCTTTACCCTACCACCAGGACGCTGGATACCACGTGTGGCCTGATGTCGTTCCAGCGATTAGCCCTTGTATGGCCGTGCAGGCCGGGCTCTCGCATGTGTATCCAGCGCATGGCCTCCAGATGTTCCACACTGGAATCCAGCGTTTTATTGTGTGCCCCTGCTTCCTGGCACCGTGCTGCCACTTCGTGGTCCCCGGCAGGGTCGGGACCTCCGTCCGACAACCAGAGTTCGACGAGAGATCCCTGATGGTGGTGCTGCTGCCCCGATCTTGCCTGCTGCGGACTGCCTGCACGGCCCAGGAGCCGACACAGTACACGGGCGCGTCGCTGCCCTCCCCCAGGGCGGCAGCAGTACCGCCGATGGGGGAAGTGTTTGTTCGTTGTCTTCCTCGTCGTCCTCCTCCTCCTTGTCCTCGTCCTCGTCCTCCTCGTCCTCTTCTTCTTCCTCCTCCTCCTCCTCCTCGCTCCCTCTCTGCGCCCCCCCCATGGGCCAATATGCAGACGTGTAGTCTTCCCTCTGTATGCCGATCTGCCAATCGGGAGGGCCAGTGCCCCGCACAGGAGACTGGAGGCAGTGCCGCGCATCGGGGGTGCCCAGTGCCGCCACACGGCGGACGCAATGATGCACCTGACACCGCCCAGCTGGCGCAGCAGTGCCACCATGCTGAGGCGCTCGCCGAGCCCGCGCTGCTGCAAGGGGCCCCGGCCCCCCTCCTCAGGGGGGTCCACGGGACCTTGGCAGAGCGGCAGGCGAGGACAAAGCGAGGGCGGCGGAGCGTGCGGCCGCGGTGACGTCCTCGGGACGCCAGGGCCAGAAGTCCGGCCCCAGGACATCTCTTGGAGCGCGCTCCCAGGCGGATTTGGCCGTGGCGTGGGGGCGCCGCCACCCGAAGGCCCAGAGGAAGTGCTGCTGATTCTCCGTGCACATCTGAGCCTCCCACTTGGAGTCCGAGTGGGTGGGGTCGGATGATCGCGCCGCATCGCCAATGCATCGGCGATGCGGCTCGATGTGAAAACCATTTTTCCTCCACGCCGAGTGGCCGATGTATCGCCAGCGTTGCCGATGTATCGGCGATCCATCGGCGATGCGGCGCGATCATCCGACCCCATCTAATTGCTCGGACTCCATCTGGGAGGCCTCTAGCACAGGGGGAACACTGCCCGAGCAGAGCAACTCGCACCACGACCACGACGACGCCGCCGCCGACGACGTCGGACACGTGGCGTGCTTCCGATCGACGCCCATGCAAGGACTTGGGGATGGGGTCCACTCTGTAAGGTTAGGCCCAGAAGAGAAGGAGGACGACGAGGAAAAGTTCAACGACGCCAAGTCCAGTTGGAGCAAGTGCGCCTTCAGCTGGACACGACCTCTCTGCCGAGAGGAGGCTCAGTAGCGGAGAAGGAGGATGGGGGAGGGGCGGCGATTGCAGCGGGAGAGGCCCACGAGGCGGACACTCGGCTCTGGACGGCGGCGGCGGCGACCACGACGAATGACGAACATCGAACGACGAACAACGAACGACGACGACGAACGAAGACGACCGCGACGAACGACGACGAACAACGACGACGGCCACGATGTCCCTTCAAAGGTCGACCCCGCGTGTTGACTAGAACTCCGAGGGGAGCCCCAGACGTGCAAGTACCGGTCCCCCAGAGGCCCCAAAAAGGGCTACGCACGCCCAGCACCACCCCCCATCCTCGAAGCCCCCATGCTCGAAGGCGACGCCAACGCCGACGACCGACCTCGGCGACGGCGATGATGCCGGCGACGTGGCAGCAGCGACGACGGCGGACCTCGCCGAGCAGGCCCGGCGTGAGCATCTGGCGCGGCCAGCTCGTGGTCACGGGCGGCGTCGCCGGCCCGGCTGTCACACCCACGGCCGCCGCCTTTCCCTTTTCGCCATCGTCGTCGTGGCTTGCGGCCGTCGTCGTCGTCGTCGTCGTCGTCGTCGTCGTCGTCGTCGTCGTGGTCGTCGTCGTGGTTGTCGTCGTCGCCGTCGTTCTGGGGATCCTTTTGGGCGTTTCTGGGGGTCCTCGTTGACGCCACTGCTCGGGTGCAGCTCGTAAAGCTGGCCAGGGGCCCGCATTGAGATGTCGTCGTCTTCGCCGTCGTTCTTGTCGTCGTCGTCGTCGTCCTTCTCCCTCCTCCGCCTCCCCCGTCCCCCTCCCCTCTGCCATTTCCTCTTTTCGTTCGTCGCCCTTATCCTCCTCCTCCTCCTCCTCCTCCTCCTCCTCCTCCTCCTCCTCCTTGTCCCCCTCTTCTGCCCTGCCTCCCCTCATCATTTTCCGCAGCTGCTCAGCATGAGCCTGCTGCTCTCCTCTCTCCCCCGACCGCGTCTTGGTATAAATCTACATCGACTAGTCGGTCAGCCGCGACCCTCGAGTGGCCCAGTCCACTGAACTCTGCAGGGGGTGTGCACGCGCTGTTGACAGCCCACAGCCCAGGTTACGGCTGCAAACATCAGCCACAAAGAAAAAAACAGAAGACGGCCTTCTTCCATCGTCCCAAGCCGCCGTGAATCCTCAAACACCAGACCTGGCACATCCCGACTGACTTCCCGTGGCCGTCGTCCGACCGCAGGAGGTCCGACGAGGCTGGGACGAGGATCAATACGTTCCAGAGCGTTCCAGAACGCTCTGAGAATGCTGCGGCGCCCGAGACATCCTCAAGAGCTGCCGAATCTCAAAGATTCTCGATTGATCCTCACCAGATTTTCTCCTCTCATTGGCTGCGTCTTAGGAGAAGGAGGAGGAAGAGGAGGAGGAGGAAGAGGAGGAGGAGGAGGAGGAGGAGGAGGAGGAGGAGGAGGAGGAGAGGAGGAGGAGGAGGGAGGAGAGGAGGAGGAGGGGGGGGGAGGAGGAGGGGGGGAGGAGAAGGGGGGGGAGGAGGAGATGAGGGAGGAGGGGAGGAGGAGGAGGATGAGGAGGAGGAGGAGGAGGAGGGGAAGGAGGAGAGGAGTTGGAGAAGGAGGGGAGGAGGAGGACGAGGGGAAGAACGAGGACGAGGACGAGGACGAGGGACGTGGAGGACTGGGGGGAGGTGGTGGTTGAAGGAGGAGGAGGAGGAGGAGGGGGGAGGAGGAGGAGGAGGAGGAGGAGGAGGAGTAGGAGGAGGAGGGAGGAGGAGGAAGAGGAGGAGGTGGAGGAGGAGGAAAGGAGGAGGAGGGAGGAGGAAGGAGGAGGAGGAGGAGGAGGAGGAGAGAGGAGGAGGAGGAGGAGAGGAGGAGGAGGAGCGGAGGAGGAAGAAGAAGACGAAGGAGAAGAAGAGGAGGAGGAGGAGGAGGGGGGAGAAGGGGTGAGGAGGAGAAGGAGGAGGAGGAGGAGGGAGGAGGAGGAGGAGGAAGAGGAGGAGGAGGAGGAGGAGGGAGGAGGAGGAGGAGGAGGAAGGAAGGAGGATGAGGAGGAGGAGGAGGAGGAGGAGGAGAAGGAGGGGAGAGGAGGAGGAGGAGGAGGGGATGATGATGAGAAGGAGGATTGTGATGATGATCATGCTTATTATGATGGTGATGATGATGCTGATTCTGACGATGATGATGTTGACGATGCTGCTGATGGTGATGGTGATGATGTTGCTGATGATTTAGAGTATTTGTATGATGCTGATGCTGATGATGCTGAGGATGCCGATTCTGATGATGATGATGATGATGACGATGATGATGTTGATAATGATGATGATGATGATGGTGATGCTGATGCTGACGATGATGCTGATGATGGTGATGATGATGATGATGATGATGATGATGATGATGATGATGACGATTATGATGAGGATGACGATGCTGATGATGATGCGGTTGATGTTGCTGCATATGATGCTGATGGTGATGTTGATGATGATGTTTATGATGATGATGATGCTGATGCTGGCGATGATAATGGTGATGATGCTGCTGATGATGGTGATGCTGATTATGCTGATGATGACGATGCTGAGTATGCTGATGATGATGACGATGGTGCTGATGATGATGGTGGTGATGCTGATGATGCTTGCGATGATGATGCTGATGATGAGGATGCTGATGATGATGATGATGATGATGCTGATGATTCTGATGCTGATGCTGATGATGATGATGCGGCTGCTGCGGCTGATGATTGTGATGATGATGATGATTGTGATGGTGTTGATGATGATGATGATGATGCCGATGATGATGGTGCTGTGTGACGGTGATGCTGATGATGATGATGATGCTGATGATGATGATGTTGATGATGATGGTGATGGTGATGATGATGATGATGATGATGTTGATGAGGATGATGATGATGATGATGATGATGATGATGCTGATGATGCTGCTGCTGATGCGGATGAGGACGATGCTGATGATGATGATGATGATGATGATGATGATGATGATGATGATGATGATGATGATGATGGTGGTGTTGCTGATGATGATGAGGAGGGGGCGGAGGAG